TGGGTTTTTAGGGTGTGCCACCTGCCCCCATGGGGACACTGCCATGGGTTTTTAGGGTGTGCCATCACCTCTTTGTGAGACTCCTGCTCTTGCCCAGCACAAACCAGGGTCAGGGGACCCCCAGAGCCACATCTGGGCCAGGGGAGGACAGGGGTGCAGGGGCTCAGCTTTGRGCTGCTCTCACCAACCTGTTCATGCCGGGCAGGTTCCCCCAGAAATACCGTGCCCGGTGTGCTGCAGACACTTCTTTGGCATCGATCATCACAGGGTTGGACTGAGGGAGGAACAGTGGGAATGGTCAGCGGGGTTGGGCAGCCCCTCCCTGTGGGGGCAGGAGGGGGTGACCCCAGGCAGGCACTGACCTCCAGGAAGCGTGAGATGTCCCTCTTGTCGCTCACCCCCATGGCCACCACGTTCTCAAAGAGCCAGAAAAAGGGCCGGTCATCCCCCTCCTTGGGCCGGGCTTCGTGCAGCAGGCGGTAGAACTCGAAGAAAAGGCGCCCGGTGCCCTCTGGGCAGAGAGAGGAGAGGTTGGGCTAAGGGCTGGGGGTCTTTGGTAGCCCTGGGGGGGTTGGCAGTGGGGTTCAGCCCCACCCCTGTGGAGCCCCAGCCCTGTCCTACCGTAGAGCCCCTTCCTGGCCGGGTTGACGATGGACAGATCGTTGCAGGGGCTCCCCCCAATTACCAGGTCAAAGGGACCCCATTCCTGTATCTGCAAAAGGGAGAGGAGACCCCGCTGAGCCACAGCCATGGGGACACGGGGGACGATGGTGGCCGAGCTCCCAGTGTGGGATGGCACCACCAGGATCACCGAATCCAACTCCTGGCCATGCTCAGGACACCCTGACAATGCCACCCTGACAATGCCACCCTGTGCCACCCTGACAATGCCACCCCGTGCCCCAGAGCTGTGCCCGGAGCTCTGGCAGCCCGGGGAGGTTGGGGGTTGTCCCAGTGCCAGCAGGGACAGGGTGAGGGGTTGGGGACAGAATGGCACCTACGTGTTTCTGGGTGACGTTGCGGACGTCCCCGACGTA